GGAGAGACGAGTTCAAGCCTTCACACTCCTCCCCCGTAAGGAGAGGAGAACTTTGAGCGCGCTATTTCCTTCCTCCTTTCCCAAACTCCATCTATACTTGCCCGGGGACTCTGCGAAGCAAGCAATCTCCCGAGCCCAAATTGCCTCTTTCAATGTAGGACAATAAAGCAATTATCCGCAACTGGAAGATACCAACTTTTCTCGGCCGGGGGGAGGAAGAAAGTGCAGTCACCACTTCGAGCGCCTCCCAGACAGGCGCACAGCAAAATTCGTCAGCCTCGCCCCCTCCCCTCTAGCCAGACCCTGCTCCTCTGAGATTTGGAGGTGATGGTCGAACAAAGAGCTGTTTCCTTCGGGGTCTCTGTGTCTAGTACCCCCCCTCCCCTCTTCTGGTTGCCCGACTTTTCAACTTGGCCCCTCCCACCACTTGATGAGGTCACTCTTCAGCTGTTGTAAAGACTATTTTGAAGAATTTTGAATTGGAGGGAAGGGGGCTGGTGGGGGGGTCTTCTGGCAGCGACGGGGAAAGAGCTTTTATTGCGGCAGCTCGGTTGCCTGCTCCTTCGGGCAGCGCTCTCTCTGACGGCGGCTGGGGATGTTGCTTTTGCAGATCGGCCCTTTGGATGAGTGTTGGTGGGAGCCCCTTCCTAAACTGGTACGTTGTTTCCCTGAAGCTGATCTCTTTTCTTTTGGGCCTCCGGGTATTGTGGCGAGGGGTTCCGAGTGCCATGATTGCTGCGGGCTTTGCAGCCCAAGCGCCGGGGCCGGGGACCTTTTTGAATGTACGTGCTCCGAAGAAAGTTCGGGTTTGTGTGCAGTTTTTGCACAATCCAGGCAGTGTTTTATCAGGCCGGAGTTCACAGAAGTACGTATGGATGGGGGTGCGGGGGTGGGTGATCTCTGGGGAGTCTGACAGCGGAGGAAGGCTTGAAGGCTGTTCCGCGAGATTTTGATCTCGCCCGGATCTCTGGTACTTATCCCATCTGTCTCTCTGAGCTTTGGTATTTGGTGAACACAGAAGAGGATGAGGACTAGGAATGGGCAACTCAGTCTTCCCATCACTACCTGCCTCTCTGTTGCAAAGTTAACTTTTTTGTTGTTGTTGAAAGACATTTTTCCCCCGGGCTCTCTCTCACACGAATCTGCAAAACATTAAATGTTTGGGATTGCTGGCTAATCTTTCCACCTTCCTCCCAAATTCTCAGCTGTGTCCCATCGTCCCTTCCCTAATAGCACGTTAACGGTATTCTAAAGTAATTCTTAGTTCTCTGATTCCAAAGGGAGTATTTCCATTCAATTCAACACCATTTTCCTGTCTGGGATGCAAGCCGTGGCGGGGGGGGGGGGGGGGGGGGGCAGAGGTGCCTCCCTGACCAGTATTGTGCATATACATGAACAGCCAAGGCTTGGTGGTAGGTTGATCTGGCTGCAGTCCGAAATGTGGCACATGTACACTGGAGTGAGATATTACACCTGAAGATGCTTGGGAGGGAGGAAGTCTTGTGAGCAAAAATTCTACTTTGTGAGCTACTGGCACTGAAGTTGGGAGTGAGCAGTTTGGCTACTGCATAAATTAGTTTGCTCTGGAGCCATCCTTCCTGAGCTACGACAAAAAATGTGAGCTGGAGGCTAAAAAACTGTGAGCTAGCTCGCACTAACTCAGCTTAGAGGGAACACTGAAGGGGGCATACATAAGTAGTAAACACTAGGGCTTGATTTTTTCCAGGGTTTGTTATCGGAAATTGGGTCAGGGTACCTGTGCAAGTGGTGACAAAGAAATGTGCCCTTGGACAAGTGCAGAGTGCTTCCCACAGAAGCCAAGGAAGAGGGCTTCCAAAGTAAATGAGCACGGCTCCTTGCAAACTTGAGCCTTGATACTTCTGTTGGAAGTTAAGCACTGAACTGGAACCTAATTGAGCTTAATGTAATGGTTGCATAGCTTTGTGCTGTGGATGGACCTCTGGCTTTTGCACCCATGCAGTTAACATCTTCCACACTGTTTCCCCTCCCCTTAAAATAGGTATAATCTTGTGATTGTGGTAGGGAATAGTCACTGGTCTGACTTTAGCTGTTCCATTTACCCTGCACATGTGTCAGGCTTCCTCCTGTGGCTCTGTGGCTCCTTTGCTTCCATTTTATTTAGCAGACAGATTTCGAGTAGCACTAAGAAGGGGAATGGCAAAAACAACAGAAATCCACAAGTAAAACAATAATCATGAAAAACATTATCAGTAGGCTTTTTTTTTTAAATGCATCGCACAGGAGATCACAGTGATCACAAGAGAGGCAAAAAATAATCCAGTCACTCAGGACACAATCCATATTTGAAGAAGTGTGCTTGCACACAGAGTCTTATACCTTGAATTAAACTTTGTTGGTCTTAAAGGTGCCACTTTGGTCTGCTGCTTCAGACTGACATGGCTACCTGCCTTTTATTTGGGTTAGTCCTAGTACACGTATTCTGTGGGTTGTGTTCAGGTTTTTCCCTTCTAAGCAGCACCGCTGATGTTTTCCTTCTGCTTTTTAAAAATAAACAGTTTATATAGTTGAGATGTTTCTTTTCTCTCTCGGTTTTTCACTGCCCTGTCGAAAAGAGTTCCTTTTTTCCAGTTCCAGGGTAAGTGCGACTGAACTCGAGCCAGACTCTCATAGGGCCAGTTTGTTGGCTGGCTGTTCCGTGCCTTTCATGGGCTTGTAGCAGGGACAAAGGCTGCACTTTCCTGTTAGAGGGATAGCCCTTCATTAGAGGGATATCCCTGCATCGACTTGATGGCCGGGTCAGTCTGAAGTTCCCAGCACTCCTACCGATCATCACCTTCCTTCAAAATTTTACTTTTATTTTAGAGCCCTCTCCATCGAGAGCTACTGGAAAAAGGAATTGCAGTTTTCCATAGGTGAGACTGACAGACCCAAACTTGGAAAGTAAAAGCAATGCTCTGCAGAAATAAAAAGCATCGTTGTGTGTGTGTGTGTGGATCCTTGAAGAGAAGAGGCACAGCAACCCTTAATAATAGGGGAGCCGGTGGGTGGGGGGCTGATTGTACTGCCTTGCCCCTCACCCAACTTAAAATAGGACCCATATGGAAAATGATGGCTACCTTCCCCCCTAGAAGCTGGGAAGAGAGCCCAGAAGTTCTGGCTCCTAGTAGTACCTCCTGCTCCAATTTACTAGGCCTCCCCTTCCCTTCCAGGGCTGGGAATAGGACCCAGGAGTCCTGGCTGGGGACCAAGTTTAAACAGTTGTTGAATTTAGATGTAATTACGGACTTCCACCTCCCCGTTTCCCTTGTTACCCCCCCTGAAGCTTCCTGCTTCATCCCATCCTAATGTAGGGAAGGGATTATTAGTTGTATGCATAAACCTTGGCTTGGGTTTGGCATGATGGCTGCCAGATTGGGGGCGGGGGGGGGAGAGATGATGAATATTGTCAATTCCAGCTGTTTTTGGTGTTGGGGGGGGTTCGAGATGAGTCATGCTTTCCATCACTTAGGCCGTATGAAGAGCATAACCCTTGGGGAGTGGGGTGGGAACTCAGCTGCGAGGAGCCTGGGCAGGGGGAGAATCAAGGAGACTCCCGTGTAGATGTGGGCAGGGGGGAGGCCAGCTTGTCTCTCCCATTCCTAGTTCTGTGTCAGAGACTAGGCTGGAGGCGAAGCACAGCGGGAGGGGACTGTAGACATTTGTTTCTGCACAGCCCTTCTGGATGCACAAATGATACTCTTTTTGCCAGGTGGTCCCTCCCGCTTGGATGGCTCCTGAGAGCTGAACGGCACCCTGGCTGGTGACCATGGATCCTTCCTCACTGCTTCCACTCGTCCTGACTCCTGACCCCCGGGGTTTTAATCAGGGGGCAGCAGAGCCCAGCGAACCTGCCCCGGACCCCTGCAGCCTCCTGTCAGAAAGGCACTATGAGGTGGTCCCCTGCGTGATCTGTGCCCTCTGCTGCATCTTTGGAATCGTCTATTGCTGCTTCGGTGAGTCGAGGGAAAGGGGGTATTTCCCACAGTTCCTCACTCTTATCCTCTTTCTTTAGGCGAAAATAGGCAGATTTGAGCAAGTAGCTCCCTGTGACGCAAACCTGCCCCTTCACCAGCATTGAGATGTTTGGCACAGTCAATGGAAGTACTTTCGAAATTTGAACTCGTATCAAGTCAAGCTCCTCCAATAGAGAGAAGCCCTGCAAATGGAGGATAGTTCTGTGTACCGTGCATGCATTGCTTGAAAGCACTGTAGCCTTCTGAATTTAAAAACATTAGGATCTGTTAGCACAGCCTTGCGAGATAGCCCAGACATTTTTCACTAGCCACTTAGCTTACACATACCTGCACTGGTCATTTATTGCGTGCTGACAGACTGAAAGGGGTGGGCGGAACCTCTTTTTGTCTGTTGATAAAAATGTCCTTCTAGGCGCCTGGAGGTGAGTCTTGCTTGCCCCAAGTGGATAGGCATATGGCTCATTGCAAAGCCTATACCAGCAGTGTGGCTAGCTTGGTATCCGAGCAAGGAAGTTATTACTTTTATCAACCAAATACGTATGGTTGGCTGTTATGCCCTGTTAACTTTTCCCCTTTATTTGGTGAATATCTTTGTCTGTGCGTGTGTGTTTGCCTGGAAGGCATGGTTGACTTCTGGCGACCCCCAGTGGGGCTCGGAAGTTTCAGAGTGGTGGCTTATTATTACCTGCCTCTGTGTTCCAAGCCCTGGTATTCCTTGGAGGTCTCCCTTCCAAGTACTTGCTAAGGGTTGACCCTGCTTAGCTTCTGAGATCTGACGAGATTCGGTTTGCCTGGGCTATCCAGGTCAGTATGCCCTATTTCTAAATAGAGATCTTTTGTTTATTTACTTCATGTCTTTAAAAAAATTTTTTTTGCTTACACACAAAAAACAATTACCAACAACAGAACATAACAAAATCACGTGATAACCTCATATCCAATATAAGAAGTGATACCATCGTGTTGTGGTGATGTTCCAACCAGAAAAAACAAAACAAGAAAATATATAAACCACTAAGAGAAAAATCATGAATGAATAAAAAGGAAGAAAGAAGAGAGGGGAGTGGGGGAAGTGCTTCCATCCAAGTTGGCTGAGACTTTACATATTTTCCGTTGATTCCATTTCTGAAGAATTCCATCCTCTAATATAACTATTCTATGCCTTATTCAAATTTTCAGGTAGGGATCTCCATCCATTACAGAAAAGTCCTTAACGCGCTATAGTATGGAAATTCCATTAAATAAATTATAAAACAGTTCCAAATTATCTTAAAATCATCTTCCTTTTTTCATTTGTATCCTACCTTTCTCCCTGAAGGTGACCTAAAATGGCTTACATCCCTTTCCTCTCCTCCACGTTATCCTCGCAGCAACCCTGTGAGGTAGGTTAGGCTGAAAGTGGCTGGGTGGCTGGCCCAGCATCACCCAGCATGCTTCCGTGGTACAGTAGGGATTTGACCCTGGGTCTTCTACATCCTAGTCCAGCACTCTGACCCCTACACCATGCTTCTTCTCTGAATATGCACACAACATGCCTTTTAAAAGCTGTGTCCTACATCCATTGTACCATCTATCCTTACTAATTCTAGCTCATATTCACTGTAAAAGCAAAAAAACATGTTTCATTCAAAGTAGACAGGCAACAGAAGGATACATTCTATCTAAGGGTATATATTTTTGTTCTTGTGCTGCATGAACTCAGTATGTTCCTATCTGCCACCTTTAGGGTTGCCCGGTCCCCTTGCCACACCGGCAGGGTGATTTGGGGGTGTTCCAGGACATAATGCGACTTGCTGATGTCACCCGGAAGAGACATTATTGAGTTTGTGATGACGCTCTGGTTTCTGGGCAAAACGCTATGGTAAAACCAGCTTCAAACCAAAGTGTCACCATATAATGTCACTGACATGATGATGTCACTTCTGGGTGACATCATTGCATCAGGAACCTCACACAGCAATGCTGCTGTCTAGGGGCTGGCAATGGGTATTAGAAGCCCCAAGAACCAGGGGAACCCCTGCCCGGACCTGGGGACTGGCAGCCCTAGGCACCATTAACAGCCCTCCCTGCTTAAAGCTGCTGCTTGGCATCTCCTAGAGCTAAGGCTGCTGATACCCAGGAGGTAATGGGAGATTGCTCACAATTACAATTGATCTCCAGGCGACAGAGATCAGTTCACCTGGAGAAAATGGCTGCTTTGGAAGGTGGACTCTATGGCAATTATGCCCCAAGGCACACCTTCCTGAGGTTCAACCCCGAAAATCTCCCAAGTACTTTCCAGCTCGGAGCTGGCAACCCTACCTAGAGCTCATTCTTTACCAGTTGTTGTCCCCACTTTATGAAGTGGGCTCCCTGCAGAGGTGATGGGGGGGGGGAGTGCTGTCCTTGGAGGTTTTTAGGAAGCATAATAAAACCATTTAATCTGCAAGAATATGCCATATTATTTGAATTGCAAGGCCTTCTCTGGCATTTGTAGTGACTATTGAGTTGTGCTGTTATCCTTCAGAACTGCAAGCCACCTTGAGCTGTAAATGGAAAGACAAGATAGAAATATTTTAATTTAAAACATTTGACAGAGTCTCAGTGGTGTTAGCAGTGCTTTCTGTGTGGGGTCTGGTGACTGGCATGCCCCACAACCCTGTCTTCAAAATGCACATCCCCTACTGTATAAAGAGCACTTATTCCAAATGCTGAAACTCTGTATATTTTTTTGCCATTGTTGGATGTACTCCAGTATTGGGGGGGGGGGGGAGAATTTGATACTCTCCAGCAATTGATACAATAAGTTCAGACAATAGGTTATGATAGCTATTCAATAATGTACTTAGCGAATAGGTATAGTTTCAAGATCTGAAGTAGTAATTACATACTAGAGTTTAATCTTGGCTATATTGTATTGCTTTAAATTGAATAAAAAGCTACTTGGAAGGGCTTCAGCATTAATTACATCTCATATTATTCCCTACCAGGTGTAAAATTTGGATTAAAATCTTATAAACCATCATGATTCAGGCATAACAGACCTATGGGAGCGGATGTATAAAATAAATTCAGATGATGAGCTCTTGAGTACAGTATCATCCCAACCCTGTAGGTTTCCCTCCTCTGGCTCGCATGGTGACAATTATACATTTCTAAAATTAGTTGTATGTATATGAGAAGAGGCAACTTTCCTGGCAACAGCCAGAGTAATTTTTAGAATTGTGGCTGTCCTGTCTTCAAGTCAACACTTTCCCTGTGAAAACAGCTGGGTCTTTCCAGTGGCCATGTATCTGTAAGTCAGATCACATACAGACAATAAGCGCTACATGTTTTACAGATGGCTCTGCAGGGAAAAACTAATACTATGGGGAAGCATCATCTGTTATAAGTAACAGAACATTTATTTTCTAGGCTAGGAGTTCCCATCCTTGTTGAACCTGTGGACACTTTGCAAATTTTGAAAACATGTTGCGGGTACCACCAAAAAAAAAAAAAAAAGACTGCCATGGGGATGGGCATGACCAACCACAAAATGGCTGCCATGAAGACAAAACATTGGGAAATTCCAAGCCATCCAGTGTGGTGTAGTGGTGAGAATCCCGGACTAGGACTGGGAAACCTGGGTTCAGGTTCCCACTTTGCCATGGAAACTAGCTGGGTAACATGGGCCAGTCACTCTCTTTCATCCTCATCTATCTTACAGCACTAGGTTCAGGTGGGTAGCCATGTTGGTCTGAAGAAGCAGAACAATGTTTGAGTCCAGTGGCACTTTAAGACCAACAAAGTTTTATTCCAGGTATAAGCTTTTTGTGTGCGTGCTTACTTCTTCAGATACAATGAAATGGAAATCACCAGTCCATACATATAGGTAGGGGGTGAGCAGTAAATTAATATACAGCATAATGAAGATGTTTAACAGATTTAAGGACCAAACGGGAATAACTAAGCTTTCATTTCATTGTATTTCCATTTTGTTGCATCTGAAGAAGTGTACATGCACATGAAAGCTTATACTTTGAATAAAACTTTGTTGGTCTTAATGGTGTCCCTGGACTCGAACTTTTTACCTTACAGAGCTGCTGAGGATAAAATGGAGGAGGGGAGAACAGTGTTGTAAGCTGCTTTGGGTACCTGAACAGAGTACAAAGTGTTGTCCTATGGATAAAGGCAGCTGCTTCAGAATAGGTC